TCTACAAAAGACCTTCTTCTCTGGATATTCTACAATGAATTGTCAACAAGTAATTCAGCGATTAGAAAGGCAGTGTGGGCAGAAGGCGCTTTTTGAGAAACTACATACACTTACGTGTATGAAGTAGTCTGCAAATTTATTATTTTGATGGATTTGGAGATATCGTTGGAATACACAGTATCAACCAGGGGTTTGTTAATTGCGTTTTGTAAATATTTGCATATCTTAAGTCACATACGAAAGAATATCAATATTCAAGTATTGGTTTGTAGGGATTTGATTGATTTGTTACAGGATTTCATCATGAGCTGACATCTATTAGAGAACCATTGGAAAACCAGGTGGGAGTACTGGACAGCTGTTTCTTCAGTCTAGTTTGGAACTCTTCATCAGTGCGCATCCACCACCACTAGGGTTAGAACCCAGGACCTTTTGGGAAGTCGTGACCAGTAGGTCGCGTGTGGGGACAAATACTCGTCGAAGACATTGGGTAGCAGTGGCGCTATGTCATGAACTGGGCCACTGGATCGGGTCCCAGTGGCTTAATGGTCTACGAAACTGCCAGACTTGTGACCGGAAGGTTCTGGTTTCGAGCCAGGTCTGTGGTGGGTGCGTGCTGATGAAGAGTCCCAAACTAGAAAGAAACATTTCTTCAGTACTCCCTGATGGATTTCCAATGGTTCTCTAACCGATGTCAGCTCATGATGAAATACCAATTTTATTACGAATTTCAAATATTTTCAACTAAACTTATCAATACCAAAAGAGATTAGAAGCAATCCATCACTACTTTGAAAACTGCATTTTGATTCTGCTAACGTGGATCGCGTATTCGTCCATATTCGTGAGCTTAATTGTCTTATGAATTATAATATCTTGTTGGATTGTTACATAACTTTATAGGCAATCAATGTTTATTGTTATTTCTATCTCTTCATACCGCTTCCCTACAGTATTTTTACTTTGCAATGCATATAAATTGATTATGACTTGAACCTTTTAGATTAGACACTAGTCAGTAACTAGTGTAATGTGTCTAGTCCTATCTTTGGTGCAGACTGAATTCTGTCTATACCTATTCGATTTCGAGTATCAGGGAGACACCTAGCGATTGTGATATTCATAAATGATTTTACTGTTATTTGAGTCAATCAGTTGTGCACTAGTAGTTCAATGATCAGATGCTTGCCAACATAGGACAGGTCTGGACTCAAGCCCAGCGCTATACCTCCCCCAGTTTACAAGCCAACATAGGTAGTAAGGAAAAGCGAACAACCGCACCCCCAGGGAGAAAACAATATCACCGATAGTGAAACTTCAAAGATTATGAGGCCCAAATATATATTCCATATTTTTATTGTGCGTTGAACTTTCTTTACCAATTTGATTGTTTCTGAGGAGTAGGGTAGCTGGCCCTTCCTCTTTATCAGGGGGTGGAACTGGCTAGTAAACTAGGCTAGGTTTCGCATCGACTTCGAAAAGACCTTCACAAGACAGCGTTGACGGAGAAGTATATTGAAAACTGCTGCAACACTATGGCGTGCAGTACTCCAAGCCTTTATCAACCTCATTGAACAGCTGGCTATATGACAGTGTCACGTGTCAGGTGAGGCGTTCGAAGTGAATACAGGAGTAAGACAAGGCTGGCTGCCTATCATCACCGATGATATTCCTGGTTTTGGTGGACTAGGTCATACGGAATAGCGCACGCGGGGAGCGAGAAGACAGGAATATGCTGGACTGATAAGAAGACTCTATAAGATCTGGATTTCGCAGATGATATATGTCCAATGTCAAACAAACTCGAAGACCAACGGACAAAAGCGACAAACTGACAGAAGAAGCAGCCAGAGAAGACAGCACTCCAAGTGAACACAGAGAAAACGGAGGTGATGAAGGTAACCATCCAACCAACAAACAGCAACAATCACTATCAACTGTAGCAGCTTGATAGACATTATCCCCTCCATTTATCCTGCCAGGGGGCACGGTTTTAACCACAGACCGACAGATCAGACGAAGATGTCAAAGCCAGCCAGCCAGAACCAAAAAAATAAGATAAGCCTTCATCAATCTGAAACCAGTTAGAAAATCTTATTCTTCACTCAGCCAGCATAAACAACAAGATTCGGATTCTATTCAACACAAATGGGAAGTCAGTCAGTTCTCCTATATGGGTCAGAAACTTGCAATGCGCGTGTGTCACGAAAAGGATTTCCAACAGCCTGTTACAGACTTTTAGCAACAGTTGCCACCTTCGCTAGCTGGCTCCATTCTGAAGATCAAATGGTCAGGCAATCGGTCAGAAAGAGATTAGCAAGAAGAAATTATAAATGGGAACAAACTAAGCAACTAAGGGCTGGTTGCTCAACACATATGTAGGAGAAAATGGAGATGGATTGATCGGGCATACATCACTGAGGAGACTGTCAAATTATATGGTGCTCAATGCAGGCCATCGCTCTTGTGGAATCCGGATGGGAAGCGTCGAGTGGGTCGTCAGTGCGAGGGTGACATAGAGTAGGTGAGGGACTGTGAGCATTCGTGGAGCCATCCAGCTGAAGAGGACAGCAGAAAATAGGAGAAAGTGGAGATGTGTTTTTGAAGCCCTACGTTTCACTCAAAAGACAAGGGAATAATAATAATGATAACAATATATTTCATTTGGAAGACAGGGAAATGCGGAAAAACTGCCATCCTAAATCCATAAAAAAGGACATTGGCCAAAATTATTTAAACATTTATTCTGTTGTAGCACAAAAAGTTGTTGAATTTCACGTTTGAAATATTTATTTACAAACACTATATGCAGCTTGTTTTAATTCTAAACAAGGAAATCTAATCGATGTTTCTCAAAATAAGTTACCATAACAACAACAACAATATTCAAGAGGTAAATTAAAAAATCTCTCCTTTTACTATTTGAAGTATTACATTTTCGAGTATTTTAAACAAACAAACAAACAACAAAAATATCATGTCCAATATTAAAGGAAGCTGGTTACAAGTTGAATTTCTAAAGTTATATCACAAATAACACTTCAATGTGTCCAGTAAAAATGTTTACTGGACGAAAATAGGTAAATAACTATAAAGGCATGAACGAATTAGATAAGGATTATTTGTTGTACATATATATATATATATATCGATTTTTGGATTTTCGTCATGAAACAAGCCACCTAGCACGGTGTGCACATTGTGAACTTGACTGATAGAATTCAGTCTGCACCAACCAAAGAAAAAGGACTAGACACACACACACACTATACTAGTTGCTACTAACTAATGTCCAATGAAAAATATTCAGTACCGTCCTACAGGAGATCAATCGCCAGCCCGAATACCTAGCTCATTGGCAACGTCTGTAACTAACTGCAGCACACTGAGTGACGCTGGTTTGAATCTCAGAAGGAGGGACATAAGTAGTTCCATCAAGGTTTGAAGATACGCCTTGGTGACTGACTGGTGAGTGCTGACAAGCACGAAACCTTGGTTCAACAAGGCTTCCTGCCGATTTACTCCCACCGTCTGATGCCAACAATTCACAGTGCACCGTGCTGATATAGTGGCCACATAGCAAACTAGACTGATAGAATTCAGTCTGCACCAAACAAAGGACTACACACACACACACACACACACACACACACACACACACACACATTACTCTAGTTACTGACTAGTGTCCATTCGAAAATGAACCAAAATCAGTTAGAGAAGTCATTGAGAACCAAGAAGTATTGGACAGTTGTTTCATCCTTTTAAGGGATGCTTTAACATTCCGTAGTCATGACCCCACTAACCAGGGATTCAACCCGGGATCTTCAGGTTATGAGACCAAGCCAACTAATCGAAATTTTGATGGGTTTTTGTGCTCCGTTAGTCCAATCGATCCCGTTCTACTACTTTGACCTAAGTGTTATTTGACCTGACAATCATTCCAGCAGAGTACAAGGTAACCTAAATTGTTTTGTTTTAAAGGCTCCACAGGATTGATACTTTAACCGACAATGCTTATTTCTAATTGAGATTATGGGTTTGAATGCCAGCCACTTTTATTCCTGCCTGCATTGTTAATAATTCTCCGCCGTAGGGTTTCCGAAGTTCCTTCTTTGTATGGGAAGAAGTACTACTGATGATTTAAATCCCCTATTGTTGGTGTTGTCATTATCCTGTGCATGTTTGACATGCATTTCGTCATTAATATTATTATTACTATTATCACTATCACTACCATTATTATTATAGATTTTATTTTTATATTTCCCTTCATACTTTCTGATTAATTTACCAGGGTAATTATCAATTAAGTTTCAAAGCTTCTCTTATATGCCTGACTTCCTGTCTTAAATTTTGCTTGTTAATACTTAGATTTTGTGACCTTATTACTTAAACATTTCACCAAGAGTAGAGGGAGCAGGATTAATACCGTCAGCTTTGTTTATCGAATCAACTGCGAACACGTGTAATAGGAATGAATGATTCAACACCTGTCCACTCACCCGGACATCTGGAAAATTCTACTACCCCTACCTAAGACGATAAATAGGAGAGAACAATGAAAACTATTAAAAAACGGAAGTTTCGAAGTCGTGTGATTACAATTGATGAAATGATTATGAACAGTAATAAATTTTGTTCGAAACTTTGTCATCTAGTAAATAATAATACTAATTCACTGTGTGTGTGACATATCTAATAAACAAACTAATATGGAAGAGCTGATAGACACTACTACTCAGCTACCCAGACTGAGATAGACATAATGGGACTCGAACCCAGGACTTGTTGGATCACAATCACCTACAACTTACGACAGAAAACGAATTTGCAACAACAACAACATGAATAGTAATTAAATTTATTACAAAAAGCAATTATTGTTATTACTATTAACAGGGTCAGCGCAAAAACCAATATACATATTCATAATCTCCACACACACACACACACACAGAGGCAAAAAATAGAATTTTCTGAGAAAATATAACAAAATATTAAGACTGTTTGTTATTGAAGCTATCAGTCCAAATTGTATCGATATGCAACTTTTTTAACATTTCATCACGCATTGAAGAACTGCTATGCAATGCTTTAATTAGACAACTTAACTCAAACGCTGTAATGCGGGACTCTGTAGACAATGGTCCTTTTCCATCCATCCATAGGACATCACGAATTATAGCCAATGATGAGACTGATAGAACACTGATAACTCCCTGCAGGCGTTGATATTCTGGACAACGTCGATGAAGTCGTGCTGTATTGGAGTTCTATTATATAAATATACATATCAATAAAAAATCAGAAACTGGAATTAATAATATTAATTAAAAAGTATATTTTATTTTATTGTCATTATTATTATTTGAGAAACTGTCAGTTCGTGCCACTTCAGTGCATGTTTACAAATCCGCTTGCTCCTGTGCAGTTAGTTATATTGTAACGACAGAAAACAAGGACCAGGCAACAGATCGTTTATTGAGAAAATCAACAGATATTTATATATTTTTATGCACATGATTATTCGTTATTGTTAGCAGAGAAGCAACGTCTTCTGATTGGTTGTTTTCTCGCTGAATTCTATTCTGTACCGCTTGTGACAGTTTCTTAGAAACTTAAGCCATATATATATCTGCGAATAGTATTTGCACACGTTAAGTCTACTGTGTGATTGGCTGGTGAGTTCCTCAATGTTAAGCGACCAATATCACTCCAGGTGTCCAGGACAGATGACTCATAAACTCGTGGAGAAATTGTAAACCTCACTTCAAATTGGAGTGTGCTCTGAGGATGTTGTGTAGAAAGGTATTTAACAAAAGCTTCCCAACTGAACCATCGAACTCAGGGAACACAACTGCACCAAAATCATCCATCCATCTCTGCTACAAATCTTATCCATCATACTTTCTTCTCTTCACTTCCACATGACATTCTCACATAGCTAATTCTCCTTCTTCATTTTCTAACTCAAATGTCAGCGCCACTCCGTCCAATATTGAGTTGATAAGTGTGAATTAACTAGAGATATGTTGTGTTATTAACAGCGTGGATACCGTGTAACTTTTACTTTTCCGCCATACCTTTCGAGTAGGATTATCTATTTTCATGCAGATATCGGGTCATAGGAAATTTGCAGATTTCAGGATTATCGACCTCAAGAAGGTTATTAGCTTACAGGGAAATTCAATACTAACACAGTTCAGTCACATAATAGGTCGGAATTCACATATATAAAAGGTGACATAGTCAGATGGGAGGCGAATTCGATCACTGAATCCTTATTCTCCAAATTCACACAGATCACTTGTCACACGAAATAAGCTGAACCAATAACAGAGATATCGACTATAATACCGGAAATAAAATCTGAGGATACGAGATAATAGAAGTATAGAAACAACATCCGATGTTATGTCAGCACCTTGACAGGTTTATGACTAATAAATTGCAGTCGACATGTCATCCAGATATAATACTGTATTACTCATTGTGTGGATTTCATCAAATATAACTACTATGTGATGACGGAAATGATTTCGTGCCTATTCTCCGCTAAACAGAAGAAGTCGGCCTATTTCTAATCCACCTGATTGCTCCTATTACAGGTGAACACGAAACATGTTGATGAGTGAGGAAGCAGTCGACTAAAGATGAGCATCCCATAAGCTCACTGAATCAAATCAACTCGAAGTAAATCAAAGTCATTTCTCTTCGCCTGATGTCACCACCTCTCACTCGATAAATGCAAACACCACAACACTCACAAACATATTCCCATCGAGTTTGCAGACTGACTGTACACAGTCAGACATCCACATGCCACTACTCGTCAACGCTTCATACTCCTCAGTCTACTAGGATATTCCAAACAATACAAAAACATCGACAACAACTGTCTGACTGATTGGCTGGCTGACTGACTAGCTGTACAAATATTCTCCTCCCAAAACTACACGTCAGCATTCGAGCCGTAGACCAGAGGATTCACTCACTAGAGATGTGAAGAGCTAAAGAGGGGAGAGGAAATACTTCTCACTAGTCTAAACCATCGACTCACATCTACATAAACCCACATAAATGCCGTGATGATGGGATTCACCAGAATCAGAAACACTCCGTTTCATAGAGACCAATTGTGGACACAACAAATTCGCCCTACCACATTCTCTCCATGTCTCTCTATCTCTCTCTCTGTCCTTCTGAGTGGTTGTCACCATTAGATGAATGTATGCTGATGTACGATGTCGAGGATGTGTTCGATTGTGTAGACAAAGTCAGTGATATTAGTACGAACAATGAAGCTATGAGATCCTTGGAAACGGTTGACTACATATGTGAACTAATAAATGACAAATCCATGAGTATTGGGATCCCAGTAGAAGTCGTTAAACGACTCCTACTAAAGTGACGTATGAAGGTGAATGTTACATTTGACGATGAGGCGTGTAGACAGGTGGTGGGTGATGTTCCAATGGGTGGGCTTTTGACTGCCTGTAAGCACCGCAGATTTCTTTCCGAGTAAACTAAAAGACAGTCTCTTGCAATGGTTCATCAGAAACTTCACCTCGATTTTCTGACTCATCGATTCATTCATTCGCCTCTCCGCTGTCGACTTTCTATAAATTCGTCGTCATTTAGAAACTCACAGGTGATGATAAGGAAGCATTTTCTACAACTTTCTTCGCTTGTTTCTACGTTTTCTCGACTCCTCATTTTTCTCCGTATTTCAATACTTGTCTCCTTGTCAAGCGTGCTACTTGCGATAATCCGCGTCTCCATATTCTAAATCGCTTAGTTTTATGAAGCGGATTCCTGTTTCCAAGTGCTCTCAGTCTTAACGACAACCATTTCGAAACTCCGCTAATCCCTCATATAGTTGGTTGGTTAGATTATTTACGATCAATTAAACAGATTTCGATATTTATACGTCTTTTTGCGAATTTCACAGTGTTTTCTGAAAGGATTAATCTCACTCCACCCCACCCCACCTCACCACACCACACCACATCACACCACAACACACCACAACACAACACATTTGTCACACAAATACTGCTCATCTGTTCATCTCATAAATGGAAACTCACCTGATTTTAATTGAGTACTCCCCCTCCTCCATCATTCTACGTGAGAGGGAATCCACTGAAAACCTGTTAATTATGAAAATAATAAGAAACTCTATCTAATGACTGTGAGTTGTTGAAGGGAATTGATGCAAGGCATATGTGTCACATTCACACTGACACTGAATTTAAGTCTCCGGAATGGCTGGTTGGTCCATGTACTCTCTCCTGCCACAAACACACACACACCCACAGACACACGGACACACACACGCACACGCACACACAGAGGCACACAAACAAAACATACAGATGAGGTTTCGTTGAACAATCACGCTCATCATCACTTTGTTCGTGATTTTTCACACACCTCATCAACCTTTCTCTCCACAGGCACACGCACACAGAGAGAAGCAGAGAGAGGGGGGAGAGAGAGGGAAGATAGTATGATTTCTGTAATACACTTATTCATTCTCAATGTAATTCACTGCCTGACAGTTTGGCTGACGTGAAATAAATTCTCCTGGTGTATTCATCCGTCCGTCCGTCCATCCATCCACAAACCAATAGACTGATCGATCAATCGATCGAAGGATAGTTTGCCTACTCTGAGAGATTTTCATGTTGTGATAGTGCAGTATGATGAAGAAGAAGAACTCTTCACCTTGTTCGACCAATTATGGACTAGACATGAATGAAAACGATAAAATATCTCAGACCTATAGCAG